TAAAACCGCGCCAAAAGTTGAACAATGACGCCCCCGACAAAAAGTAAGTTGCTTCTAAACCCTGGCGATGGGGACACAATCGCCTTTCCGTCATTCTCGGAGAGTTGTACTTACCTACCCTGAAAGTAGCAGAGGGGATGGTAGCTACAAGCCTACAATGGCAGTTTTTTTTTCTGCCCTTTGTTCTCTTTTTCTGCTATACTTCTCTCTCCTGTGTCAGGACCTGTTTTCTTTTGAAGCATCAGAGGTCCGAGCTTCTCTGTTCCTCATCGTGAGATCTACCAACAAAAAAAAATCAGTGTCAAGTTGTCAGCAGATCCCGGGTTCAAGTCCGCCTGAATCAGACCAATACAATTATTGTCGGTCCGAGCAGAACTTCGGTCGAAGATCTCACCAATTATGGTAGTGCTTGCCCCTTCACAAAAGGAAAAAGGTGAGAGCTTCGGCCGGCGTTGTGCCCGCCAAGGTGAAAGCCAAAGCAACAGACAGAGTACGTTGGATCTTTCAGAATCTAATCCACATAGTAAAAGGAAGAAAATCTCTCGCCAAAAATTATGTCACTCACCCGTAGCTTTCCCTCCATTCAGTCTTGTCGCACATTGTGGATAACACTTCAACTAGCCCCAGAGCACTACCGTCTTCGCCCGAATGGAACGCCCGGTCATAATCGCTGCATTTGGACAAAGTTGTGCCAAATACAGCTATAACAACCGGGCGTTCTATTCGGGTGAAGATGGTGGGCCTCCATGAAGTTCATATCTTTTGGTGGGAACATCATCGCAGTCTGTAACTCACCCGCACAGCCTGAATCTTTTTTTTTTTCTCATCCATTCAGAAAAAATGTAGTAGTTCTCCACTAATGTGACCACCTATATTACCTTCCCAAGTTCCCACTCATTCACTATGCACAGACTACTTTCTCTCTCTGTCTGTCTGTCTGTCTGTCTGTCTGTCTGTCTGTCTCTCTCTCTCTCTCTCTCTCTCTCTCTCTCTCTCTCTCTCTCTCTCTCTCTNTCTCTCTCTCTCTCTCTCTCTCTCTCTCTCTCTCTCTCTCTCTCTCTCTCTCTCTCTCTCTCTCTCTCTCTCTCTCTCTCTCTCTCGCCTAACAACGTTGGAGAGTGTGACGACCCTGAGTGTGCTCTTTGACTATCGCCAGCTAAATGCATCTGTTTTCACTGCTTCCTGTTCCCCTGATCCCCCTAGAACCAGTGTCTCTTTTTCGTCCTTGGTGGCTGCCATCAAGTGGAGCAGCTACCCTTGGCTGGTCCTTCCTTCTCCTTCGTCAATGATCCTGGGGAGAGGCTGCATGAACTCGGCAGCCAGTGCCTCCCAATGCATCGCTGCACCCTCCCTTCCTTTTGCCTCTTTCTGGAGGCTGCGGCTGCATGGCTGGTACTGGGTTCATTCCGCACAGCCTGCATCTAACCTTAATACTAACTACATTTGGGTCCGGCGCCACCGTGACCCACTGGAAAGGTACTGGATCTTTCTAGGCCTACCCGAGTTCCTGAAATACCCGTAATAGGGTCCCTATTACTCCCTAACAAATTCTACATCTGTCTCTGGCTGACCCACTAGCTCCTGTATGTCGTCCTACAGCTAAATCTACTCCATGTCCCTGACTCCCTCTTGTCCAAGGCACAGACACACAGCACAGAAAACGGAGTTAGGGCATCGCCACACCACTCTCGAAATGTGCAAAATGAGAATGAACTTCCCGCTAGAACATGGCCAGACGCACCCGCCATATTTTTGCCTTTTTCACATTTCGTGAGTGGTGTGGCAAGGCCCTTAGTGTGCAGACTCAGACTTGGACTTAGAACTTCAGACGCAAGATCAGACCGCACACAGCCTCTGTAGACACAGCCGAACAGACTCAGATTTGGAAATCTCGGCAATAGAAAGATGAAAAAAGGTGATGTTTTCTTTCTCCAAGAAGTGCAGTTTGTGCAGACTGCAACTCTGCGGGTCATTGCGGAAGCCATTTGTCGCTGTGGACCATTTCTAAATTTGGGCGGCCATCCTTGAGTGTGCAGGTGCCATGCTAATCTTCTCTGTATTGTTCCAATCTTCACGGATGTTTCGAAGGAGATCAGTACTTGCTTTGCCAAAGGAGGGGTAACCTTTTTTTCCCCTGGTTTGGGATGTCGACAATAGACTCTGGCAAAGAGCATGTCACTACTTTGTTTCCTTTTTCGACCATATCGTAAGTCTGTCGGTTGACGAGGTGGTTGGGCTGTGCTTAGGCAGGGAGGGCCTCATTTGTTGGCATCAGTTCAGAGCGACGGAACAGAGAGAAAGAGGTTGAGTGTAGAGCAGAGTGAGTGAGGGAGGACACACTCATACTAAGACTTTCTGGGATGAATCTGGCTTCAACTACAGCAGTATGCACTCTGAAAAGTCCTACCAGTGTCCACAAGTTGGAACACCACCTTCCTTTTCCGGCGAGGACCACCCTGTGGCCAATTGCAAGGTCCCATTTACCTGGATCTTTTGCTTTTGGCCGTTGATCCTTTTGATCTTTTTCTTCTTCTTCTTCTTCTTCTTCTTCTTCTTCTTCTTCTTCTTCTTCTTCTTTTTCTTTTCTTTTTCCGGCCGCTGATCCTTTTGAACTATGTGCGTCATTGATCATTTCGAGGATGAAATTTCTGCTGTCAAGGGCCATCCTGTGCCCCATGCCATGGCAAGGTCCCTCTTAGTGGGATTTTTCTTCGATCTTGGCGATTGAGCATTTTAACCTGTGGTACACTCGCGTAGCTGTTAGTAAACAAATTGTCAGTTCAAATCCTGATGGAATCGATAAATCGGAGAGCTTGCAAAATAGACAGCTTATGACAAAGAACCATGGTAATTATAGCCGTCTCTCGCATGTACATTGCCCTGATACATAGTAACATGTGTAATTACCACACCTGTTCAGTTGGAAATAGTAGCAATCTGATGGTCCATCCAATTGGACATCTGACTGTGCACACTATGCTGAAGTGCAATGGTTGTGCGACTTTAATCTAGATTCTTAGATGTTAGAACTATACATGCAACTCTGGGTTGCATTCTTTAAAAAAAAACACATTGTATAGACTCTCTCTCTCTCTCTCTCTCTCTCTCTCTCTCTCTCTCTCTCTCTCTCTCTCTCTCTCTCTCTCTCTCTCTTTTCAAGACCACATTGCAGTGACTCCCTCCCGCCCTTCCTCTCTCCCCCCATCTCCCCCACCCCTCTCTTTCTCCTCACAGGAGCTGAGAAGGCTTCAGTTAGTGAATGTTGCAACCTGTAAATCCTCGTGCGCACTCCCAACATATGGTGCCAAATTCCCATGACATTTTCTCAGATATGGTGCCCATGACAGAGGGTTAGTGTTCAGAGAGGTGGTAAGGGGGGTCTGGAGATTAACCCCAGGGGGTTAGTGTTAACCACAGAGGGGTAGCAACAATTCAGCATCATGTTTTTCAAAGTTTTCCCCCTTTTTCTTTCTCTCTCTTCTCTTCCTTCTTGGCGCGTTTTCAAAGTTTTCCCCCTTTTTCTTTCTCTCTCTTCTCTTCCTTCTTGGCGCGTTTGGGCCTTAAGTTTGGGTTAAGGTGTAAGGCATTTGAAGTGTTAAGGATTATGGATTAGAGTTGGAAAAACCGATAACTCCTTCAGTTGTTCAAGAATTAAAATTATGACTTAGACCTCACACTCCCATGGCTACGGTAGGGGTACGCTTTGATGGGTAGGGATTGCAGCTGAGTGGGGATTCTTATGGCTTAGGGTTTACACATAGTTCTCATTTACTGTCCTCCATGAAGAGGGAATCATCACATCTCCTTTGGACAAACTCCCTTTTTGCTGTAGCTGAATCGTCTGTGGATGAATACTCTTGTGCCCAGCATGCTTTGAACTCATGACCTGATTATCAGAAGTCACAAGTTTGTAACATTTCACCATCACTAAGGCGGTTCATCGACATCCACAGAGGCTTACTGCTCACAGGTTTCTGTTCCAATGCCTCTGGTTCCAGTCTCGGGCTTAGGGTTTAGGGCTTAGGGCTTAGGCTTAGGGTTTAGGGTTTAGGGTTTAGGGCGTAAGTCGCTGCTGTGGTCGAATCGTCTGTTGTACGAAACATCCAGAGGCTGATGGCTTTCTGTCAGGCCAAATGATGGTATGTGTGTCCTCAGAAAGTATGAATCTGGTTGCTAAGCTGACCAGGTTCATGCGAGCTTACACACAAACATAATACCAGAGGAGCCCGGTCCTTAAACCGCTAGTACACTGCCCCAGGCTTGTGGAGAATTGTTTGTCACCTACTCCGAAAAAATCAGAGCCGGCGCGTCGTCGGTAAAATACATTGGAGGCCGGCGTCATGTTTCGGCCTCCGAAAGGCGCCCGCGGCCGATGTATGGCATGTACTGGTGGTTTAAGGGTTTAGGTTCATGCCACGTTACACTTTTTTGATGACTTTTGTTCCTGTTCAGGGATTAAGCCCCCAGTACCCCGTGTGGCTGAACGGTACACAGTACTACACACATGTAGCTTTGTATAAACAGGTCGCGAGTTTGAATCCTCCTGATGGAATCTGATGGACACGACACCGTTAGGGGCTTTTACCCGCTTCGAATAAACAAAGCCCCTGTTAGCCCAGAGCCTGTTTTTTTGCGCTTGCCCCAGTGGGTGGAACTCAGAAAACCCCCTTGGGGGCTGGTTGCAGAAAAGATTTGCGGATGTACGTGGGACACGGGCACCTCCTGATATAGAACAGGTTCACTCGAAGGGCCTATGTATGTGGACACAGGCCCTTCGAGCGAACCTGACAGTGAGTGGTATGCACCATGAGAAAGAAAAAGTGAACACTCTGTAGAGACAAAGCTTGGTTGGACCTTCAGTGGGCATGGCGGGGCAAATCGTCAGTTATGGGGGGCTTTCACTGAGTGGGAAAGACACTCTCAGGAAATCGTCAGCTTAAACCGCCAGTTCATGCTTCTCACCGGTTTACATCGTTACGAGCTTTTTGATACGAGTGGGGCTGGTAGTGAAAGCGGCAGGCCACTTCAAAAAGGCCCAGTTGTGGGCTCACAAGCCTTGGAACGCAGCCTGTGCACACCTGATGGCGATGGCGACGGGTGACGGGCGACGGCGCAGCAGGAGGAGGTCGGCAACTGGGATCGTGTTGGGGGCGGGTAGGTCGGCAACTGGGATCGTGCTGGGGGGAGAGTGGCAGCCCACCCCAGCTGATCGAAGGTTTGAAGGGAGGAGAGGGAGTTTGACGCCAAGATCCCACGGCTCTGTGGCCGTCGATCATGGAGGATCGACGTCCACAGAGCCGACGAACAATTCAAAAAACAAAGCAGGCCAGCAGCAGCCGAAAGGGGGTCCGACCCCCCCCGGCAGGTGACTGCGCTGGGGGGCCCCGGCCCCCAACCAGGTGCCTTGCCCGGCCAGGCCGCCCGGGACCTCCCACGGGCCGCGGCCTGTCACCCGGGCGGCCTGGTTCCCCACTCAGGAAAAAATCCGATAAAACCCTCTCACGCCCACTTGTTCTGGCTCATTCAGTTTTCTTAAAGTTAAAAACTCAGAACTAAGGGGGAGATCCGACTGGCAACGAGGGTTGTAGTAAGTGTCCGAATGTGGACGTGTTTGTGGACACGTGCGAAAATTGTGATTGATCTACTTTTCTGCACTTCTGCGTGGAACACGTCCAGATTCAGACACTTCTTCCAATCCTCTTTGCCAGTGGGATCTGGCGCTAACCCTCCCCATGGCCATATTCGCCACTAACACCACAGTACTAACCCCCAAGTTACCCACCGCCAAGCAGACAGCTGGTAATGAAACATGGCCCATGTAGGCTTTTTCAATAAACTGGGGGTCCAAGAAAAAATCGAGAAAATAAATAAAAATATGGAAGAACTTCCGAAAAGTATGTTGAAGTCCATGGTCATTTGAGCAAAGCTTGTCCGCATGCTCTCCCCCTATCAGTTCTGGATTAAAAAAAAAAAAAAGACTAGAAATGGGAGTTTTTTTTTCATACAATTGTATTTCTCAATTTGTTGGAAAATAACTCCACAGATTTGACCAAATGATGCTTTCAATTTTCGAACTTTTTTGTTCAAAACATTGTGTATAATATTTCCTTCATTTCTCTATCTCTAATACTCTTAAGGAAGAAGCGGGTCTCGCGTGACGGGCCCAACAGAAACCGGGCGCCGCCGTGCGGGCCCGCTCCGAGGCAGTGGGGCGAGGGGGAACCGGTGGCGCGTCGGTGTCGGCATAGCGAAAGCCGACCCGTCGGTCCATGAGGCGGGACTGGGGCGCTGTGGGCCTGCGTGGCGGCGTTCGGTGGTGGGCGGATGCGGGCCTGAGTGCAGTGCGGTGCGGTGCGTGGGCCTGCGCCACGCGGGCTTTTTTTTTTTTGCCCGTCGCGCGGGGCGCGGGGGACCAAACTACACACTCTACATGCATTGATAGGATCAGCAAAATCGATCCGCTAGGGGTGTGTGTGTGTGTGTGTGTGTGTGTGTGTGTGTGTGTGTGTGTGTG